AGTAAGCTGGTTTAGCAAACTAGGATGCTCCCACATCTCTGCATAATTGTGAACTGAATTTATTCTTGGTTTGAACCTATTACCTTCCACTGAAGGGATTGTTGTTGGTGGTGGTGTTTTAAATGAGGAGCTTTGCAATTTTCTTTCTGAATTATCTCCTTCTGATGAATTTAACATAGATTAACTGCCCAGTTCTAAAAGAACAAAAAGGCATTTCTGACCAGTGGTTCACATCCTGTATGTTTGCATGGTTGCCTAAAGAGGAATCTTGAAGGTTGTTAGTTATGAGTACAAGAGAGAGGTAAAGTCAAATCTTACTTCAATTCACAGAACCGGTCCATTCAGGAAAGATTTAAACATGGACTTTTCCCTTGATCGTCCCCCCCCCATCTTAACCTATTAAATCTACAAACTCCTAAAATTTTAGAAAGGGAGTCAACTTTTGCAGCAGCTCTCCTTTCAAGTTACATTTCTCACAAAGTTACCTAGAATAAAGAAGACCAACTTCACCTAAAAGGGGAGAAAACTTAGATACATTTACTTTGGAGTTTCATCATTAACTTCTAGCTGTTCTTGGCTACATCTTTTTAATGGTGTTCCTAGGCTCCCTTTTGGAAAGACAGTGATTCCTCACCCCACCCCCATAAGCCCATTCAGTTCTCTGATGCCCCTTTGCTCCGGTATTTAAATTCATGACATCCAAGACCCGAGAGAAGGAAGGAGGGAGGGGATGGGGAGGTGAGGGAGAAATAGGGTGCCCTATCTCCGTTCTGCTCAACACACCAGGAAATTAACTTTTTGGAAGAACCTGGGCTCTGGCACCTACCTCTAATGAAAGGGTCATAAAAATTCATTTTTAATTAGTGAGGAAGGGAGCCGAAGATCCCTCTTCTCCAAACCTAACCTATACACATCATATAATCCCTAAGGCCACTCTCGCTTCCCCTCCCCCATCGCCTCCATCCTAATTCTAGAGCGCAGCGGGAGAAGGATGAGGAGCACCCAATAGTCGGGGCTGGGGGGAGGGGACAGAGAACCACAAAGGCCAAGCTTGATGCCCTGGGGCTGAATGCGAAGGCTCCATCCAGGAGCTGAAAGGAGGAAGGGAGGGAGGCAAAGATTCTGCACTTCCCCACCCCCACTGCCCAAACCCCCTCTTCCTCTAGTCTAGGGGAAGTTATTCACCCAACAGCAATGAACCACAGGGTTATAAGGCTGGAATTATAGATACATTTGTATATGTATCTATATATGTATATTTTGTATATACCTTATATATGTATATATACACATTTATATTGTATTCATACCTACGTAAAAACGTACATATGGTATGTACGTATACCTCCACATATCTACATAGCATTCAGTGTGTCCCAAGAGGGCAGAGGGGGGGACAGGAAGCCCGTAAATACGCTGTGGAGGTAGGCCGGCCAGGCAGAGCCAGGAGTTGGCGTGTCTGGCCTGGGCCTGGGGCTGAAGGGAGGGGGAGTCGCGGGTTGGGAGTTCGGCGCCCGGGAGCCCGGCGCGCCGCGGGGAGTCTGAGGGGGGGAGGTCGGTCGGGGTGGAGAGCTAGGAGATTGAGGAACTCTTCCAACCCCTCTTGGGGCACGAGGAGCCCCAAGACTTAGAGGCTGCCCACTCCCCCGCCCCCCGCTGAGCTCTCAGTGGGGCTGAAGAGGACAGGGACACACCAGACAATAACCCACAGAGCCGGAGGCGCGTTAGCTCTAGCGGCCTCAGTGGAGGGGGGTTGGTGGGGTGGCAGGAAGTGAGGGGGCCGGGCTGGGGGGAATAGGGGGGCCCGCGGTAGGGGGCCTGGAGAGGCGGAGGAAGCTGGGGAGCCCTCCAGGCAGGAGGTGCAGTGATGAAGAGAACTGAGCTGGGCAGGGGACCTGGAGAGGGGGCGGAGAGAAGGGCGCGAGGTGATCCATGGGTGGGGGGTCAGGCTGCAATACTGTCCCCACGTCTCCAGAAACAACAGCGGCAGCCGCCTCCTGCTTTCCTCACTCCTTCCCCACACCCCTCGGATCAAGGAGGAGGGGAAAGCAGAGGGAGGCCCGGGGGGCCGGCGCTGGGGCAACAGCCGCAGCTGCCTCCTTCCCTCCTTCTCCTTCTCCTCCTCTTCTTCCTCGGCGGCGGCAGTGATTCGCAATCCCCGCCAAACCCGGGCCGTACCCCTTGATTGGTCACGCGGGCCGACTGGCGGGGGCCCGGGGACCCAGACGTGGGGGAGAGAGGAGAGATAAGACTCCCCCATCCCCCTATGCAAACACACTTACACACCCCGAGTCTGGAAGCAGCTGGTAGGGGGACCCGGGCGCAATGCCTCCCCGAAGACCAGCAGCCCCTTCTTCCCCGGCCCGGGAGAGGGGGGGAATTGGAAAAAGGGAGGGTGTCCGCTCCTCGCTCCCCTCCTCCTCTCCTTTCTCCTCCTCCTCCTCCTCCCCCCTCCTCCTCTTCCTCCTCCTCCACCTCCTCCTTCTCTCTCGCTCGCTCTCTCTCGGTCCGCCCGTCCCTCCCTCTCCCTTCCTGCCGGTTCCCTACTCACCTTTCACCGAGCGCGGTTTGGCTTGCTTGCGTCTCGACATGTCCGGGGCTTCGGGCGCTCCCTCTTGCTCAGCGGACTGCTCCCTCCGCCCCCCGCTGGTTCCCCCCCTTCTCCTCCTCCTCCTCCTCCTTCTTCTCGGAAACTTTTTTTTTGCAGCCGGGTCGGCGGCTGCGGTGAGCAGATCGATGGGTCGGGGCGGCCTCACTCGGAAAGATAACTATTGATGATAATGATGATGATGATGATGATGGTTTGGGAAGGAAGGTGCTAAGGCCGAGGGGGGTGGCGCTGGGTTTTTGCCTGTTGCAATGCGGCAGCCGGGGGCTCAGCGGTCCCAGCGGCGCGGGGAGTCCAGAGGCCACTCGGCCGAGCCGCGTTATGCAAAAAAAAAAAAAAAAAAAAAGCCGCCCCTCCTCCTCCTCCTCTCCACCCCGCCGGCCCCCGGGCGGCCCCCTCCCTCCCCCCACCCCACCAACCCCCACCCCCACCCTCCTCCTCCTTCTCCTCCGCCCCTCGGGTTATTTTTGTGCAAAGTTTGCAGGCGTCCGGCTGCGCTGCCCGGTCCAGACTCTCACAATAACCCCATCTGTAGAGGGGAAGGGGGCTAGAGGTGAAGGTGGAGGGGGAGGACACAGAAGGGAGGGGTTCCTCAAGAGCAGTCTTCCAATCTACCCCTCCAAAAATCCTTCGAAATTTCACCTTCCCACCTCCCCCCCCAAAAAAAACAATAGATAACACTAATGACAAAAAAATTTGATTTAGATATGGGGCTGGATTATGGTGGCTTTGGGGTTTGCTCCCTCAACTCAGTCTCTCTCCTCTACTTGAGTGAGGAGTGGGGCGCAAAACCGCCCCGGAGTAGCTCAAAAGGCTGTGGCTCTTGGCCCCCCTGGCCTCCACGCCCCCTTCCCAGTCTCTGTCTCTGGCTTGCTCTGGCTCTGTCTCTGTCTTGTCTCTGTCTGTCTCTGTGTGTGTCTCTCTCCCCGCCCCCCCAGCCCTCCTTAGAGAGAGAAAAAAGCCCCGGAGCCCAGGGTGGGGGCGGGGTGGATAGGGGTGTGAGGGTGCTCACGCTGCGGTCCGCAGACGCGCCCCTGCCCTCGGCATAGCGCCTGTCCGCCCGGCCGATGCCTCCCCTCCAGCTCCGCTCGCCAAAGCGCTGCGCGCAGTGGATTCCCAGGCCGGTGCCAAGACGCCGGGACCGCTAGCTACCTCCATGGGCTAGGGGCTCGGAGAGGGAGGAGGTGGAGGCAGAGGAGGAGGAGGAGGCGGCCCCGCTTTCGCCTTCACCGGCGGTGGTGGGAGCGGCGGCGGTGGCGGCTGCTGCGCCCCGGCTCCGCTCTCTAGCCGGCGCCCGCCCGCCCGCCAGCCTCCCTCGCTCTCCTCTCTTCTTTGTCGTAGCTGGCTTTCCTCCTCCTGATCTGGCTGCTGGGGCTGCAGTGCAGAGACACATAATAAAGCCAGGCTTGGCTGGAAATGTAGCTGAGTCCCAGCAGGAGGATGTGAGGAGTGGAGTCCCGGCGGGGGAGCGCTCTGATCCCGTAGGGAGCCCCGCACTGCTCGGGCTCGGATCAGACGGAGAGAGAGCCAACAGCACCGAGCGATGGACAGCCCTGGAAATACAACTTCGGCCGCCCGCAAAACCCGGACCGCGGCGGCGGCAGCGGAGGCACCGGAGCCGGAGAGTGTAGTGGGGGAAGGGGGTTGGACCTCATGGATGGGGAGGCGGCAGAGGACAAAGCTAAAGGAACCGAACCGTAGCCGGGTCGCTCGCACGAACTGGGAGATGGAAGGAGATGAAGAAAGGAAGAAATAGTCTTTAGAACGATAAATAAAAATAGATCGCAAGATGTGGGAGGGGGCGTCCGGGAGTAGTTCCTCTGTTCTCTCTAGTCCCCGCCAGTCACCCCCCCCAAAAAAAAATAATTGTGCCTTTCACATCTCCTGAAATTTTATTTGGCATGTTTGTCTACACACCCCAAAAGCTTAGGTCTCCCCCTCCCGAAATCCACAAACTCTGTGCCTAGACTTTGCCAACTTCTCCCCACACCTCCTTGGTCTGGGCTTGGCGCCCCCCAGCTGCAGTCAATCAGCAAATATTTGGGCTAGCTAATATCCAAATGTCCCTTCTAGCTCTAAAATATCGTGAAAAGAGCTATTTCCCCAACTGTACACACTTTCTACAAACTTCGAACCGTCCTCAGACCCCCGTCTCCCGGCCGTAGTCTATTGTGTCGTGCTCTCTCTCCAGATACCTTCCCAAAATTTGAGTTACAGTGCCCAACCCAGAGAATATTGACTCATCTCTAGTCACAGAATAATCGTGAAGAAAAGGGTTCCTAAACGTACAGATGAGGAAACTGAGGCTGGGCGAGGAGCGATTGGCCCAGTGTCACACAGCTGAGTTAGAATTCGAACTCAGGGCTTCGAACTGCCAGTTATCTTTTTTATACACCATGCTACCTCTTTAGATCGAGCCCGGCCAGAAAGCTAACCGTAACGGGGTCTAGGAGGAAGCTCTAAGGCGAGGTGAGCCAAAGCTAACTCCCGGAATAAGCTTCCTCCTCTCCTTCCCAAGCTCAAGGATTGGTGGAGAGGACTGGAAGTGTCCAGGCCTGGGGATGGAGGGGGCGGTCTTCGGGCGAAGGTTGCCCCCTTTCCTCAGTCCATTTTGTAAGGCAAGTGAGGGGTGTCTGCGCCCTGTGCGGCTTGGGGAATTTATCAATCTCTTTCGATCAATAAGTTGCCACTTGGAGATGCATAGCGAGGAGGGCTGTGTCCCCTCGGTGACTAGTAACCCAGGGCAACCTCCAACCGAAAAACCCACATCCCGCGGAGATAAATGACTCTCGGCTTCTAGCCGGAGAACTGGTACCTACACAGCCTAACTGCTTCCCTCTACTGCTTCCTCTGGCTCCTTGAGAGCGGAAGCCTGGGATAATTAACAAAGCCTTTCAATTAACAACCCTTCGCCAGCTCCCAGTCTCTTTTTTATCTGATTTTGGGGTCCCTCCGATCCCTGGACACACTCCCTTCCCCCAGCTTTGGCCTAAGTCCACGCTTGTAGGTCATTTTGATATCCAAAGGCAGGAACCCCTTCCAAATCTCAGCTCCGCCACTCGCTGCTGATAGTCACTGAGATGGGACCCTTGGCTTCGAGAAAGAAGGGGCCCAAGCCGACCGTTACTACGCACGTATTCTCTCTCTCTCTCTCTCTCTCTCTCTCTCTCTCTCTCTCTCTCTCTCTCTCTCTCTCTCTCTCTCTCTCTCTCTCTCCCCCTCTCCCCCCACATACGAAGGTTCACACATTCAGATATACAGACACAAACTGTCTCACACACACTGACTGCAGTTCCAGGCTCCTGTCGGGATAACAGAGACCCAGAAAAAATAAAATCTGACAGCACGACACGGGGATGGGGACAGAGGTTCCAGGAGTTCAAGGGCAGGGGGAGAAAAGACAGAGCACTGACAGGTAGCAGAGTGGAAATGACACCCAGAGACACTATGTTACAGCCGCTGGTGGCTTGTGGGCGAATGCCCAGATGCACCAGAAAGACAGAGACCACTGACCAACGCTGCGGGTGCTTTCTCAGCAACTGTAGAGGCCAGGCTGAACACATGGGCCCTTTTAAGAGGGGAGATGAACACAAAGCTTCCCTGGACTATGGTGGGGAAGGGGCGTCTCCTGAGCGGCAGGCCGGCTCCCCGACAAGGCAATGATATAGCGGGGTGCTAGGGAGTCGCCCAACCCCCTATTCATACTTCTTTCCTTACCTCCTGGTGAGGCTCGGGGCAGAGAGAGGACAGAGCCCAGGGGGCGGCCTTAGAGCGGCCTGGGAAGTAGCCAAAGAAGGTGGGAAAGAGGCAGTCCGGACCTCTCCTCAGCGCCCCCCCTCCCCATTCCCTGGCGCCTGGGAGCAGGGCCCATGGAGAGGGGCTGACAGGCGGCAGATGGCACACGCTGGAGGGGGAGTAGGGGAGGAAGGTTGGACTCGGCTTTCGGGTCCCCCAGCACAGGCTGTCTCTCTGCTCTGGGGAGGAGGCGGTGCAGAAAACAGCCTTCCTTTCTGGGCCTCCTCTACTCCCTAGGGAGCCCAAGAGCCCTTCTCCCTGGAGACTGGAGAGCAAAAATGGAATTATTGAGAGAATGGACACAACAAAGAGGAAAGGTAGTGAGTAGGAAGGTGGAACAGGAAGTAGGAGTTAGGAGAAGAAGAAAAGGATCTGGAAGGAAAAACAGTTCAATGCTCATTTGACAAATAGCAGAACAGCCGTCGCGAAGGAAGGGGATAGGGTTGGGAGCGCTGCAGAGTGGTGAGTGGAGCCTAGTTGAAAACAAGTAGGACCAGAAGACATGCGAGCCCTAGGAAAGGTACGGGAATATGCCAGGAGGACTAGCCCAGAGAAGAGGGCAGCACGGTCCAGTCAATCCTGGCTGGGTTTGCAAAAAGTTAGGAGCCAAACGCACACCTGCTTGCTTGCCTGAGGAGCCGGAGCAGGAACTGAGGTTTATCTCTGACACACACTATCTCTCCAGAACTGGGCTGGTCTTTCCCAGTTATTACCAGATCTCTCAGTCATCCAAGGAGGTATTGATGGAGTCTTTGGGGAGTGAGACAGAGACCTCTTGGTCTGACTCTGCCTTGCTTCATTGTCTGGTCTAATCTTTAAGAAGAGAAGAAAAGAGAAGAGAAGAGGAGAGGAGAAAAAGGAAGGAGAGGAAAAAAGAAGAAGAGAGGAGAGGAGAGAAGAGGAGGGGGAAGAGAGAAGAGCAGAGAGGGAAAGAGGTCTCTTTGCTGTCTTAGAAGGTGGGATCTACAAGAGATTGGGTTTTTCCTTCCTAAAACATAGGTTCTTGGCTAACTATCAAATCCACTCTGACTAGCAGTTCAGACCACTAAAGTGGGCAACCCTTCTGAGGGCTGTAGGGATGACTCTGAGGAATTAGGGGGATCAACTACCATTGATCACAAGCCCCCATCCAGTGTGCTCCCCTAATAACAATCATTGGTCAATATCTCCCCAACCTAACCAATTTGAAGCCTAATCAATTAGTATCAATTAGCCTTTACAAAGGGATATTTACAAAGAAGGCATAACAAGAAACAAAGTATAATAGCCTCCTAAACCTCCTCTACCAACTCTGTCCCTGGGAAAAGTGATAAATCCAAAACACCCCCCTCCATGGCTGAGCAAATTACAGTGTACCTGTATAATACTATTGTGCTGTAAGAAATAGAGAAAAAGACATTTTAGAAAAACCTAGGGGGACTTTTATGGACTAATGGAGAGTGAAGTGAAAAAAGCCAAAACAATTTATACTATAACATCAATATCATAAAAATGAACTATTATCAAAGATTTAAGAATTCTGATAAATGAAATGATCAATTATTCTTCTAGAGGATTGATGATGAAAATGCTACTCACCTCCTGACAGAATTGATAGAATTATGTGCAGAATGAGGCACACATTCCCCAAATGGCAATTTGTTTTCACTATGCCAATATAAGAGCTTTGTCTTCCTTTTTTTTTTTAAAGTGGGGCAATGCAAGAGAAGTGAAAGGCAGAAAAGGCACAAAAATTGAAACCCCTCCTCCCCTTCATTTCTAGTGATGTGGAGAAAGTTTTGGGTATGGCATAACTGATAGACTAGTCACATCCTTGTTTGTGGGATGTGTTTGTAGGATGCTTCTAGGCTATTCAACTGATTGACTGATAGTCCATCAAGTAGTCAATACTCAGGGCTTGTTCAAATTTTGAAGCTACAGCTCCTAGCAGACTCTGCAACCAATTCCAGCTGGTGGACTTCTAATGGCTCTTCTAATTTTTCAAAGTCATAGGGGGGCCCATTAGATCTCTGATACTCAGTCACTTTAGAGGCAGCTAGGTGACTCGGTAGATAGAGCACTGGGCCTGGAGTCAGAAGACCTGAGTTCAAATCCAGTCTCAGACACTTACTAGCTGTGTGACTCTGGGCAAGTCACTGAACTGTTTGCCTTAATCTACTAAAGAAGGAAATGGCAAACCACTCCAGTATCTTTGCCAAGAAAACCCCATGGACAGTTTGGTCCACAGGGTCACAAAGAGTTGGACACAACTTAACAACAGCACTCTGTCACTTTAGATCAAAAAAGAAGAAGAAATATAATAGATACAGAAGAAACAAACATCACCATACATTCACAGCCATGGTTAGAGAAGGAGAGAAGGCAGCTAGTAACATGTCAAATACTGCCTGTGTCTGCAGCTGCTACCTTTCTTCCCAGCCAGAGGCTTACAATAATTCTTGCTTCACTCACCACCACCAGAGAAGAGAGAATAAAGTTCATCTAGTCCAATCTTTTATACACATAACAAATTCTCACTTAGAGGATAATTAAAAGACTTTTTGCCAATGGAAAGCCTGAGTTCAAATCCTCACTCCCCTGACCTATTATCCAACTTCAGTCATCTATAAAACAAAGGGTTTTGATTAAGGTCTTTTATAGCTCTAAATGGAAGGAAGGAAGGAAGGAAGGAAGGAAGGAAGGAAGGAAGGAAGGAAGGAAGGAAGGAAGGAAGGAAGGAAGGAAGGAAGGAAGGAAAGATCATTTGACTAAAAGATCTCTTAGGTCTCTCCTAGCTCTAAATCTGTGCCCCTAAGTGCTGATTTGGTGTAAAAGCAACAAGGTTCAAGTCTAAATTCAAGAGACTAATTTTCTTGTGAGTCTCCTACACTAACCCTGAAAGTCATTCTCAATAAGGAGTTCAGGTAAATTCAGAGCAACAACAGCATTCGTTATGGGGGAGGGGGGATAAAATGTGTAGTCTCTGTAGGGAAGTACTTTGAAAGATGCATCAGCATGAATTCTACTCTATTTGTTAAACAATCAGCATCCTTCTTAGTTGCTCCTCAACTCTCTGCTAGTCCTGTATAGAAGTACAAGGCAAGAACCTTGCTGTCAGAAGCTTACAGTCTAGTTAAGGGACAAAGTTCTCCTGTTAAATAACTACAGAACAATTAGGTGCTAAACTGTACAAGAGGATTTCTGAAAGGGCAGAGGTCAGGGTCCATTGGAGTAGTTCAGAAAGTCAAAGACTTTTGGATATCCCCATGGCTATCTAGTAATAGCCTGACCACGCCCTACCTTTACCTCTCACCTCTACCCCTCTCTTTCCACTATTTAAACTGAAAATTCCTTTGCATTTAGGGTCTAGTTTGATCTTCAAATTCCCAATTTCCCAACTCTGAGCACAGTGCTATGTGCGTTGTAAATGTTTAAATTAAAAGTTAATCGAATTTATTGCAAAAAAATGTTTACTGACAAAAAATGAATTAGTAGATTTTTTTTGTCAAGTAAAGCTTCTTTGCCCTTCTTTATTTCCATGTTTTATTTTTTAAAATAAGACACCATTTGGAATTTGATTTTTCCTTGAAACTTCTAGGCTGGACTTGTCTTGAAGACTCTCCAAAAGAAGATGCTAACTTGGGGTGCTTAATCATTGACCATTGTCTTACCTTCAGTCTCAACTGGTGTTTCTGTGACGAGTAAAGCATTATTTTAAGCATTCTACATAAATTGGGTGAAGTTGAATGGGAGGGAAGGTAGGCAAAGAGAAAAAAAGAAAGAAAATGGAAAAAAAGGAGAGGAAAGGAAAGGAAAGGAGAGGGGAGGAGAGGGGAAGAGGGAGGAGGGTAAGGAAGGGAAAGAGAGGGGAGGGAAAGGGAGGGGAAGGGAAGGTAGGAAGACAAGGGAAGCTAAATGAAATTCTCAGTGCAATTCTGCTCCTGTTGGTTCTTGGCTTGGCAGCAGAAGAAAACTCCCTGAAGATTTTGCTGGAATTCTCCAAAGACTTCCATTGCTCCTCAATGACTTCAGCTCCAGCAGAATATTTACATATCCAAACATCTGCCCTTCCTGAATATGGGGTGTAGAAAGCTAATAAAAGCAAAGTCTGAGTGTAGAAACTTCTTTATCTTCACCATTTTCTACTCATTTTGTAAATTTACTGTTTTATTGCTAGTGGTATTATTTTTTAGTCACATCAATTTTTTCAAGAAGTCCCAAAACTCCTGAAAGTCTCTGCTTCTCAGTCAGCAAGGAGACCAACATTGTTGGGTTGAGACTGAGGTGTTTTCGTCCTGCTTAGCAAACTCAAAACCATGAAAATTTACCCACCTCAGGACAGCATCCAAGACAGACCCTAGCAAACCCTATCCAGTGTTCCCAAGACTAGTTTCCTTTAAGAATTTGTACTTGTTAATATGTTGCTGTGTAAATTTGCACTCAAGTATTTTAGCGTGCTCCCGGGTGAGGACCCATGCATTATGTTTAGTGTGTTCTCTTCCATAATTGAAGGAGAAAAGAGTTTATTACAGAAAGCTTTATAGAAATTTTCCAATTTTTGCCTGTGCATTGTTCTCTTTCTCTTTTATCCTTAAACTTCCTACAGATGACTATGCTTAGTAAGATCTCTCTGCACACTTGTTATTTCCCTCCCCCTCTTATTAATATTTAATGAGGTAACACACTTCATAATCTTTCATCATCCTTCTCCTTAAGACTTCAAAAAATTAATTTATATTCTAAATTGATGTCACCTGTGATAGCCATACAAAATGGAGAGAGTCTATGTCTGTTCTTGAATCTATTTCTCCTTTTTCTGTATCAATAGCTTGTTTAAGTTATATTGTATGCCTTATCATCTTTTTTTGAGTCTTTCTTCTAAAATAGTTTTGATTTTAATCTTCCATCTGACAAGCCAGTGATATTGTAGAGGACTGGTGCAGAAATTGTTCCCACTTCTGTAGGCAGTCACTTTATGGAATATCATAGTCTTCAGATGACTAAAATTGAGAATTACCTAGAGGCAATGCAGATACCATTGAGGGTATGCTATAGAGATTCCAACAAGAGAAGAAGACATATGACTCCTGACTTCAAAGAGTTTTTACCCTAGTTGAAGATATGGTACTTATGCATAAGAAGTGATTAAAGAGCCAAAGGTAATTTTTAGCCAACACTGAATTATATTTATTTTATATATTCAAATATATGATTAATATTGTACATGTATATAATATATATATACACATACATATGTTGTCTCCCTTAATAAAATAATAAAACTGTAAGTTCCTTGAGGTCTTTCCTACCCCAGCCCTGTGGCCTGATGGTTATTGACCACTGAGCCATGTAGGCACCCATCTTCAGAAACATGGGGTCTCCTAGTAGGGGACTTTTAAACTATGAATATGTTTTAGACAGGAGTAAAATCTTATGGTTAAGCAATGAAAACCTTATTATGAAGGGCTCTCATATACATCCATACATAGAGGGAAATCATCTAGTGACTAGGGTCTCCTAGAACTATTCAAACTTTCAGCAGGCATCCCACAAGTAGGCTAAACACTCTTGTCTCTCTGTATCTTTCACACCCACCTAGAAACAATTCACCAGGTCTCCCATCCACCCAGAGTTGAGCTGAACATGGGCAGAACTCCAGGAATGGAGGGCTGGAAAGGCAGGGAGAAGCCCTAAGAGAAGGGCTCTGAGAAGGGCAGAGGGGAGAAGATGGAGGAAGTACCATCATTCCCTGTAGATTTCTCAGGAGTCCTTGTCCTAGAAGTCACCTTTCCAAGATCAGAAACCATGTTTGTGGTTTTTTGTTTTTGTTTTAGTTTTTGTTTTTTTGTCAAGGATTTCCCAATCCCTAAGGGAAAAAAATTGACAACAGGAAAGCTTTCAAGGTACTCCTTTGGGAAGAAGGAAAGGAAACAGCAGATTAAAGTAAGAAAGGAGAGGGGAGCTGTCCTGTGCAAGTAAGTAGAAGACCTTCTAGAGCTTGCTATGACCAAATCCCCACTATGGCCCACAGAAACACTTCAGAGAGCAAATCCTTGTCACATTTGTGTTCCAGGCTGCTGGAGAGAGCTAGGGTCTCTTTGAGTGTCGCCTCCCTCCCCAACTCCTAAGCAGCTGTCCCACCCCAATCCAAGTGGCCTTGGGGACCCAGGGGACAAAGGGGAGAAAAAGACTGACCGGTTGGGCAGTGGGGGGGGGTGGGGACAGGAGATGGGGACAGAAGAAGGAAGGTTACCTGATACCCAGCCTGACCTGGTCCACTCCCACAGTTTCTGTCTCTTTCCTGAAACTGTCCTCTTGGTGTCAAATTGGTAGGTGTTAGGGGCCTACTGGACATTTGGGAGAGAAGCACATTCATGGGAAACGGCAGACCTTAAGCCCCGACCTACCCCAGACTGCCCCTCCTCCCAGTCTCTGTCCTTCCCTCCCTCCCCCGGGTCTCCCTAGGCCTGGCTGGGAAGCACCTGTGGGGTGGGAGCGGAGCCAGGCTCTGGGGGCTCGGGGGTTGTAGGGAAGCTGCTGCTCCTCTGCCCACTTTACAGATGGGGACGCCGCAGGGGGTCTGCAGCCTCGGGGTCTCTGGGCCAGTTCTCAGCTAGGCTGGGAGAGAAGCCAGGCAGCTAGGGCTGCTCCAAGCTTGCTCCCCCGCCCCCCAGCTCCCTGCCGACGAGCCGGGGAGGGCCCCTTCATAATTCCCAGATTGGAAAAATAAATAACTCCCACCGGGAGGAAGTTTCTCGGATTTGCCTTGGCTCCTGTCGAAACCCCACCAATGCTTCCCAAGGATCTCTGCATTCTCTCTGGATTCGTTCTCTCTCCCCACCCGCCAACCCTCGTCTATCCTTCCCATTCTCACAGCCTCACGATCTGGGCAAAGACCGGGCGAAGCCTCTGGCTGGAGGGGTGAGGGGAACCAAGCAAGACTATGGAGCCTGAAGAAACAGTTTATGGGGAAAACGCAAATAGATTTGGAAGAGATAGTAGAGACCAGCAAATGCAAGACGCTTCGTTTCCCTAACGTAGCACGGAAAGTAGTAGTAGTGACTTGCCAAAGGTTCACACGTTAAGTAGTACAGCAGGGATTCAAACCCAGGCCCTGTGACACCGAATCGCTCCAGACACTTTTCTCCACCCAGTGGTGGAAGGATAACTGGACGAAAGGAAAACAGCCCCGCCCTCACCCTCCTCCTAGATGGAAACCAGAGCTAGATCCTCTCGGGAGCCGCTGGGATATCTCCCCATTTAAAAAAAAAAAAGTGTTTGGAAGCGAGGCAGGCCCCAAAAGACAATCAACCAAAAAGCAACCCTTCTGGGGCCTGGAACCCTCGTTCACCATCCAGGCCGCCAAACGTGAAGGACCCGATTTCCAGGTTAGCCCTCAGCCTTGTTGGAGGTAGGTCCTGGCCAGTAACTTCTCCAAAGCGGGTTTTCCATTTCCCAAAATGGGAAAAGAGCTTCCCACGCCCAGGACCCCAACGCCTTAGCCCGGCGAGGCACTGGACAGAGGGCTTCTGCAGCTTCTACAGTACTCCTTGGGTCCACACCCTATCCCTCCCAGCTTCCAGTAAGCACACTGGCGAGCTCGCCCAGAGCGGTTTTCCGTTTAGTTTGGGAGCTTCTGCCTGAAAAACGCACAAAGGTAGAAAGGGCAAGCTAGTGGACAGAAGGCCAGAGAAGGCCAGCTCCCGCACAGCCCGAGCGAACTGCGTCCTCCCTTCTGATGGCTTTGGGTCGCGCTGCCCCGGCTGTCTCCGGCTGTAACAGTTTTGATAAGAAAACAGGTTCCCCACCGAGGCTGGCAATTGGATCATACAACCGCCTCAGCAACGGAGCAGAGCTGGGAGTTTCAAGTTTTTTTTTTTAATTTGTCCGTTTTACACACCAGGGCTTTAACTACCACAGGGCACTAGGGATTTGGAACACCAAGCTCCAGGTTCCTAGGCCTCAACAGCATAGTTTTTGTGTCTGCCCTGTAACTATTTGTGAAAGTTACATGCACACATATTAATGGATCCAAGTACCTCGTAGGGAAGGAGAATGAAAGGACAACTAGTCCCAGCCCCTTGTTTCTGTGTCTGATAGGGTGAAATTAAACATTTCTGGCAGCAGGCTATCTAAGAATTTAGGAGTTTCTCTTGCTTTCAACAATAAATTGCGAAATCTGAAGGAAAAACAATAAATGTCAAATTGCATTATATGGTGATGTTAAGAAATAAATCTCAATCAAAATAAATTAATAAAATAAACTTTTAAAAATTTTAAAAAAGAAATAAATCTCTATTTGTATTATCATAGATTTAAAACTGTAAGGATCCTCATTGACAGGTTAGGAAAATGAAGCAGAAAGAGGTTATATGATTTGCCCAGGGTCACACAACTAGAAATACCTTGAACTCAGGTATTACTGACTCAGCAACAAATTCCTCATTCCAAATCTACTTCTCTATTCTCTAAGATATATCTATAAATTACAATTTCCGTTTTTGGGAACCTGGGTCCACCCCATCCTTCTTGAGGTCTTGCTTATCATCTATCTACCTGCCCTGGTCTTCTCCCTTATCACAAAAATAAGGCTCTGTTTGATGCAAATGTGGTCCTTTAATAGAGGATTGTAGCAAAAAGGCGAGAAATTTGAAGGATCCTAATCTTAGCTCTATTGCTTCCTAGCTCTATGAGCCAGATTAAAATGTTACTTTAACTTTGAGCTTGTTTCCTCTTGGTTTATTTATTATACTTATTATCAAGGGACTAAATGTAGTTGAGTAGGAGGATGAAATCTTAGTGGTATCAAACAGTGGGGTAGCTTGCTTGGCCAGAAACATCAAGCACAAACTGATCTCATATACAGTGAACATATACATATATACACAACTGTTACAAATATTTTTTGAGGATGTGTGATTTTATCAGTGTAGGTACTCCTTGTAAACCACCTTGTTTCCAATGCCATATCATAATATGGAGGTCACCTTAGATTCTAATGCCTTCTCCTTTAAGGTTACCTGCTATCAACCCTAATATGTATTT